TGCCATTTCTAATTGTGTTTACTTAGATCTTCTCCCTTTTCTTCTTTATTAGGCTAGTTAGTGATCTATGTATTGCATTAATTTTTTAAAAAACACCTTCTGGATTCACTCAACTTTTCACGGATTTTTGTGTCTCAATCTCCTTCAATTTAGCTGTGATTTTGGTTATTATTTGTCCTCTGCTAGCTTGGGGTTGGTTTTCTCTTGTTTCTCTAGGTCTTTTAGTTGTGATGTTAGTTGGTTAATTTGAGATCTTTCTAATTTTTTGATTTGGGGGTTTAGTGTTATAAATTTTCCTCTTAACACTTCCTTAGCATGTCTCAAATATTCTGTTATGTTGTATCTTCTCATTAGTTTTAAAGAACTTCTCAATTTCTGCCTTAATTTTATGCTTTACCCAAAAGTCATTCAGAAACAAGTTGTCTTTCATGTAATTGTATGGTTTGAACAATTATCAGTCTTGAATTCTATTTTTATTGTGCTGTGGTCCAAGAGCAATGGTTAGGCTTTGGGGGTTTTTTTGCATTAGCTGAGAATAGTTTTATGTCCAAACATGCGGTTGATCTTAGAATATGTTCCATGTGAAAATTAAAATAATGTACATTCTGTTGTTTTGGGTGGAGTGTTCCGTATATGTCTAGTAGGTACATTTGGTCCAGTGTTGAGTTTAGGTTTTGAATATCTTTATTAATATTCTCCCTCAATCTGTCTAATGTTGTCACTGGGGTGTTGAAGTCTCCCACTATTATTGTTTGGGAGTCTATGTCTCTTTGAAGGTCTCTAAGACTTACTCTATGAATATGAGTGCTCCTGTGCTGGGTGCATAGATATTTGAAATAAGTCTTCTTGTTGAATTGAACCCTTTACCATGATGTAATACCCTTATTTATCTTTTGTGATCTTTGTTGGTTTAAAGTCTATTTTGTATGAAATTAGGATTGCAACCCCTGCTTTTCTCTGTTTTCTATTTGCTTGGTACATTTTTCTCCATCCATTTATTTTGATACTATGGGTGTCATTGCATGTGAGATGGGTGTCTTGAAGACAGCATATCAATAAACACTTGGTTCTTTATCTAGCTTACTATGCTGTGTCTAATAATTGGGGCATTTAGCCCATTTACATTCAAGGTTATTATTGATACATGCGGATTTGATTCTGTCATCACAGAAAAAAAGGAACAAACAAAAAGAATTAAAAGGAACAAATAAAACCTCTGTGACATATGGAATTATGTAAAAAGACTGAATCTATGACTCATTGGCATCCCTGAAAGAGATGGAGAAAATGGAAGTAACTTGGAAAACACATTTCAGAATTGCCGTCCATAAGAACTTCTCCAACCTAACTAGAGAGGCCAACATTCAAGTTCAGAAAATGCAGATAAACCCTGAAAAATACTTTATGAAGAGATCATCCCCAAGACACATTACCATCAGATTCTCCAAGGTCAGAATGAAATTTTAAAAGTTAAAGGCAGCTAGAGAGAAAGGTCAGGTCACTTACAAAGGGAAGCCCATGAGACTAACAGCAGACCTCTCAGCAAAAACTCTATAAGCCACAGGAGATTGCAGGGTTATATTCAACATTCTTAATGAAAAGAAAGTTCCAATCAAGAATTTCGTATCTGGCCAAGCTAAGCTTCATAAGCAAAGGAAAAATACCATCATACCATCCTTTTCAGACAAGCAAATGCTAAGAGAATTCCTGCCACCAGAGCTGCCTTACAAGAGCATCCCAAAGAGGCACTAAATATGGAAAGAAAAGACCATCACCAGCCACTACAAAAACACATGTAAGTATACAGACCAGTGACGTGGTAAAGCAACAGCACAAACAAGCCTACATAATAGCCAGTGAACAACATGACAACAGGATCAAATCTACATATATCAACACTAAGCTTGAATGTAAATGAGCTAAATGCCCCAATAAAATGCACAAGTGGAAAATAGATAAAGAAGCAAGACCCAATGGTATATTATCGTTAAGAGACCCATCTCACATTCAATGACAGCCATAGGCTCAAAATAAAGGGATGGAGAAAAATTTATCAAGCAAATAGAAAACAAAAGAAACAGAGGTATCAATCCTAGTTTCAGACAAAACAGACTTTCAACCAGCAAACATCAAAAAAGACCAAAAAAAAAAAGCATTACATAATAGTAGCAGGTTCAATTCAATAAGAAGGCTTAACTATCCTAAATATATTTGCACCCAACACAAGAGCACACATATTTATAAAGGAAGTTCTAAGAAATTATTTGGCTCATCTTGACAGAGAGAAATATAGGATATTCATCACTTTACAGAAACTAATTACAAGAAATTGTATATGTACTGCCTTTTCTTTCCCCTTTTCCTCTCTCTTAAATAAGGCTATTAATTCTCTAGCTTAAAGAGACAGATTTGTTTCCTTGCCAAGTTGTATTGACTTGAGTGTTCTCATGAAGTGTAATTCACTATGCCAGAAAAAGACCATTTCTAACACTTGTTCCTAACATTTTTAAACAGTTAACCTGGTTGCAACAGATACGAGACAATTCTTAAACCTGACTCAATTCCATGCTATTATTGGGAGGAAACTGTGAAGATCAGTACAGGACAAGTTAGGAACAGTTACCTTCTTTAAATTACCAAGGAAGCCAAACACTGTGGCCATTCGTCTTCCACAGATTGATCCGAACACACATCTCTACATCATCAGGTCTCTGATACTTTCTTAGAGGAGCGGGACATTGTGCACTCTGTCATCACCACAAATCCAGACTTTTACAGTTGGATCCTTCTACTCACTGCTGCAAGCAGCATTGGCTTGATATCTATTGGTTCTCCTGCAAAAAGAGAAAATATTTTATGCATTTTTTTTTTTTTACAAATGAGGCCCCCCACCCTCCTGTTGGCTTTTTCCACACCTCTGCACCCACCAGGGAATTTGAATATTGTCCTCTAGGGAAGACCTTTCCTTATTAGTCAAAGATAAAAGCTCAGCTCCAACCTTGCCTTAAACAATCAAGACTCCTCCGTTTACCTTTACAAAATGAGGCTTCCTGCTCAGCAACTGGGGCTGCTAATGCTCTGGGTCCCCGATAAGGGAAGAAGAGAGATAAGGGAGGAGAATTTGGTGGGAGGGTGAGCCCTGGGTGTTCCCTTGTATCCCATGTATGTTCTGTCCACATGTCAGATGTGCTCGTCTTCTGCTCAGGCATGTCGTGTTTAGATCTGGGAGAGTGAGGAAGATTCCAAAAGGAACAAAGACCTGTCCTCTGGGGAACACTCAACACAGAAAGAAGAGGATGTTGAAGGAGAGTCCTGGAGATTTCTTCATGTATTGCAACCCTCTGTTCTTAAAAAAAAATTGGATTTTAGAGCTATAAACCAAATCACAATTACACAAAAATGATTTACACTGAAATAATTAACAAAAGTAAAATTATGAAACTGACACAATGATTGTGTACAACCTTGCACTTCTCTCTCATTATTTCAAGATCCAGTGGGGATAGTTTGTTGACCCAGACTCCACTCTTTTTGCCTGTCACCCCTGGAGAGCCAGCCTCCATCTCCTGCAGGTCTAGTCAGAGCCTCCTGCATAGTGATGGATATACCTATTTGAATTGGTACTTACAGAAGGTGAGCCTTGGGGGATGCTCCACTACAGAAGCTCTGCAAAAACCCCCTGGGCTCTGCACTCTCCCAGTCAGCTCAAGTGTCCACAGGGGACGTAGAGTCTCTGGCTGATAGATTTCCAGAGGCCTGTGGAGCGAGCAGGTTGCTCTTTACCTGCTCAACTGGCTCCTTCTGCAGGAGTCACTGGGGGCTAGGGACAAATCCCTATGTGTGGTAGCCCCATGCAGGGTTCCCAGCTTCCTCTTCCTTCACCCCAACATCTGTGTCCTCCCTCCCTCAACTCTCAATACCTTCCCTCTGAAGATCTGCTAGGAGTGCTCCACTCTTCCTGTGTCCTGGCCCCTCGAAGGCAGATGCACCTTCTGGCTGTGTCTACTTAGCCTTCCTGGTTCTTGTTATGAGAAACTGTTGTATAACTAAGAGAGTTCATTGCATTGCTCAGATGTGCTGTGATCTTTCCTGAAGCTAAATTTTATTAACTCAGATAGCTCATCAGAGGATGGGGAAATATTACTAGAATAACTGGAGTTCCCTTTTTACACTGAGATGGTCATGTTAATTAAATGTTATCCAAAGAACTCAAGTTATAGAGGATGTAAAAGTCACAATTTCCTTCAGTCATAAAGGTAAACTCAGGTGTCCAAAATATAAATTGAAATAGAAAGTTGACAAATGATAAGAAAAGGTAATGGGAAATGCTGTCATGTATTTTTTAAGTGATAGAGTTAAAGAATTAGAGAATTTAAAGAATGAGTAGGACTGAATAAAATGCAAAAGGAAAGGGTAGGAAAAAAGGAGGCAGAATGGAAAAAAGTATTTTCAATGACATTGACCAGAAAGGTTTGGTTGGAAAATAGGATCTGTGGAAGGAAAAAGCAAGACAAAGGTACTACCTTCTATGTGGGAGGTTTTAAATAGGAGGAATCAAGGGTTTAATGTCAAGAAGGACCAAAGTTAAAAGTTGACTGCAGATAAAAGAGACCAGGAAAATAAGGAATCCAAATGGAAACTTTCCAGAATCAAGGAGGTACATAGAAGAGAGAATGATCCAGGAGGGTGTAAAACTCACTGAACCCTTCTCTAGAGGGTGTAAAACTCACTGAACCCTTCTCTAGAGGGTAAACATAAATCTTAAACTGACTCAGTCATGTGATCTGCCCATTAAAACACACAGGTTCTTGTGACACAAAAATTCTTGGCAATGTCTATAAGAGATCACAAAATTTTTCTTCAGTAATCTTTCACAAAAAGAGATCCAGAAAAAGCCAAATCTTTTAATTTTATCCTGTGCCCTTCAAACTCCCTCAGGAATACGTGAAGAGACGTGACCTCCTTGACAGACAAAGGAAGCATGCATGTTTGGGGCTGTGTGCAGAGAAAGCAGCTGCTGCAGGGAAGACCCACTGGCCTGAGGCCTGGGGAGGAGGTTTGTGTTCAAGGCTGAAGCACTGTGGGAGGAGCGCTGTAGAACTGCTGGCAGTAATAAACTGCCACATCTTCAGCCTGCAGGCTGCTGATGGTGAGAGTGAAATCTGCCCCAGACCCACTGCCACTGTATCGGTCAGGGACCCCAGACACCCGGGTGGACGCCCAGAGGATGATTTGTTTAGGAGCTTGTCCTGGTTTCTGCTGGTGCCAGGCTAAGTAGTTTCTGGAGCTTGATAAAAGACTCTGGCTGGACCTGCAGTTGATGGTGACCCTCTCCCCCAGAGACAGAGCCAGGGAGTCTGGAGACTGGGTCATCACAATGTCCCCATAGGTATCTGCAATCAGGAATGGAAAATAATTATACATAAACTTACACACACTTTACCTTATATACATTGAAACATGTCACTTAAAATGTGCTTTCTTATAGTATTACAAGTCAGCACATAAGTGGGTCCATATTGGAAATAGTCACTATTTCCCACTACATCTTAATTTTGTTTTCTACACAGATATTACTCTTAAAAGACTGCAGCATTTTTCAGTTTCTCACCAGAGACCCAGAGCAACAGGGACACGACAATTTGGGTCTGTGACACCATCTTGCTGCCGCTGCCTGCCTGATACATGTTGCAAAGGTCCCTTTTATAAAATCTGGGACTGTAGCCTGAAAGGGGCCTATCCAAAGCAGCCGGAGAGTACAGAAGCAAATTTCACGAGCAGTGGATTGTGAAAGTATCCAATGCAAATCAAGAGCCAAAAATATCATCATAGAACATGTGACTGTGTGACTAGAAAGGACACAAAACTCAACTTAGAAGCTCTAAGAATTCAGAAGCTCACTGCACATGACTAAATGATCTAATGAATAGACTTTGTTTTACATCAGAAATATATTTAAATGATTTGAGTTTCCAGAAACGATAGACTAATTTCCTCAGATCAATAATTCTGGTAAAATAATAAAACATGCTGGGGAAAAAACTGAAACAACAAAGAAAGGAAGGGAGGCGGCAAGGGGGTGAGACAGGAAGATAGCAAAGGGGGAGAACGGAAAAAGAGGAAAATAAAATGACAACTTATGGACAAAATATTTATAAAACCTGTGACTAAAATACATCTCGCCTCCAAAGCCACTTTTACCCTGCAGGTATTTAAGGAAACTGCAAACACTTGAGATCTGGCTTCAGGGCTATGTCTGGGCCAGAGAACAGAAGACAGGCCCAGAATTCACTTATATGACAAACCCTGTGGGACTTTAAGCTAGGGGCAAGAAGGGCTCTAATATCAAATAAGAGTGAACCAAAAAGAAACCGGAAACTCTTCTTTTACAACTGCTAGGAACTGAAAAGAGGGTTCCAGGTTAATTGGGAAATGGAGAAGAAAAACACGAATTCTTTGGAAAGTAATGGCTGCAGACCAACACTTTCAAGGACTTTTACTCCAAGAATGCATGGCTGAGAAGGGTCTAGAGCTCTCTAGTTTTGAAATTGCTTTAAGATAAGTTTTCTGGTGTGGCATCCAAATGAAAACCCCTCTGGAGGAGGGCATGACCATTCTAAGTTTTCAAGAAACTTTACGAGTAATTTTCAAAGGGCCAATAGCCCACGAAGTCAGAGATTCTTGACATCCAAATGCAATAAGATGATTGGAGTATGAAGGAGAAACAACAGAAATAACAGAGCAAAGTCTGCCTAGACTTCATATTTGGGATCATGAAAGCATATTTAGGGAAATAAATAACAAACTTGACATTATGTGCAAAGTACAAGAAACAAAAAAAAAAAAAAAAAGGAACACCATCAACCAACTGGATTTAATTAACATCTGAGGGTATTTTGTATTCAAAGAAACTTATTTGTCTGACCTTAAAACTTCAGCATTCAGGCCAAGTGCGATGGCTCACGCTTGTAATCCTAGTACTTTGGGAGGCCAAGGCGGACAGATCACCTGAGGTCAGGAGTTCGAGACCAGCCTGACAAACATGGAGAAACCCTATCTCTACTAAAAATATAAAATTAGCCAGGCATGGTGGTGCATGCCTGCAATCCCAGCTACTCGGGAAGCTGAGGCAGGAGAATCTCTTGAGCCCAGGAGGTGGAAGTTGCAGTGAGCCAAGGTTGCGCCATCGCACTTCAGCCTAGGCAACAAGAGTGAAAGTCCATCTCAAAAAAAAACTTTAGCACTCAGCCAGAAACATTATTGACCATCAAATATGAGCTTTAATTGCTCTATAACAATATGCTTTTCCTTTTTATATTTCCATAAATGGATAATTTAGGGAAATTTTTCTGATGTGGAATATTTACATAAATTCTTATAACCTGTTTCCAATTTTACCTAGGTCTACTAGGATACCATAATATGAAAAACCCAAACAGTGTCTGGGTTGAGAAGGTTGGTAATTTCTGGGGGCAAGGATACTAAAAATGAGTAAGATCTGCCCAAGTAAGTTTCTAACAAGTTATCATATTCTCTAGATTTTTGTTAAATATTTTAATTTTACATTGTGACTGCTCCAATTAGCTCAAAACTCACTTCTTTTTATTTCATTTACTATTGTTCATTCAGATTCAGCAAATAGAGGGCAGCCTTGAGGATCCAGAAAAGTCAAGAAAGTTAACACACCTGCTACTCATGTTGTTTAGAGAGAACATATGCACTCTGAGAGTAAACACATTCACAGAGCTTTTCCTGAGCTCTCTGTTAACTAGGGTATTTATCTGTGAATTTATGTTCTAGTGAGCTGCAAATCACAGGTATTTAGAGAATGTGCCCAACCTCAATCAAAGGTGCCTCTGAACTCAGGATTCCACTCCAGCTAATCTGCAGATAAACTACTTCAGCTGGGTGGATCGATGTCAATTTTTATGCAATGACAAACTCTAATGTAGTTAATCAGAAAGAACGTCCTTTAGGAACCAGATAGGGAACGGGCTACTGAATGTCTCCAAGTTTGTCCAAATTAGTGTGGGAGTGAGGTATTTGGACTGACAAAGTCTATAACTCAAAATCTATAGGATGTGTAACCATATCACACTCTCCACCCCACGAACACTGGCTCCAGGATAACCAATGTGAACATTTCCACCAACAAGTCAGTCTTCCCAGGTCATACAAATTGCACACTGGATTCCAGTTTTATTGAGCCCAAAATAACAGATCTGGCAACAAAGACAAAACTACAGTAAAACTAAAGTGTATAAGTCCTTCATCACTCAGTTGACTATGGACAAGATTAGAGACCTGCAGAGGCCTGCTCACCTCTCCCCAATAATCTCGTGGAGGTTATGCCCCTTTGTCAACTTTTGTTATTTGTGTCCAGTGTAAAATAACCAGCTTTGGCAGCTGGACAGTTTTGTTGTCTGGGTCACAGCATGGTTTCTTAACAAATAAGAAACAGGTTTTTCTTTAAAAATAAGAGTATCTTAATGATCACCATTCTAACTGGCGTGAGATGGTATCTCAATGTAGTTTTGATTTGCATTTCTCTAATGACCAGTGATGATGATCATTTTTTCGTGTGTTTGTTGGCCTCATGTATGTCTTCTTTTGTCAAGTGTCTGTTCATATCCTTCGCCCACTTTTGAATGGGCTTGTTTGTTTTTTTCTTGTAAATCTGTTTTAGTTCTTTGTAAATTCTAGATACCAGCCCTTTGTCAGATGGGTAGACTGCAAAAATTTTTTCCCATTCTGTTGGTTGCCAATTCACTCTAATGACTGTTTCTTTTGCTGTGCAGAAGCTGTGGAGTTTGATTAGGTCCCATTTGTCTATTTTGGCTTTTGTTGCCAATGCTTTTGGTGTTTTGGTCATGAAGTCCTTGCCTACACCTACGTCCTGAATGGTTTTGCCTAGATTTTCTTCTAGGGTTTTTATGGTGTTAGGTCTTATGTTTAAGTCTTTAATCCATCTGGAGTTAATTTTAGTGTAAGGCATCAGGAAGGGGTCCAGTTTCTGCTTTCTGCACAGGACACAAAAATGTTCATTGCAGCACTGTTTACAATAGCAAAGACCTGGAACCAACCCAAATGCCCATTGATGATAGACTGGACAGGGAAAATGTGGCACATATACACCATGGAATATTATGCAGCCATCAAAAACGATGAGTTCGTGTCCTTTGTAGGGACTTGGATGAACCTGGAAACCATCATTCTCAGCAAACTGACACAAGAGCAGAAAATCAAACACTGCATGTTCTCACTGATAGGTGGGTGTTGAACAATGAGAACACATGGACACAGGGAGGGGAACACTACACACTGGGGTCTGTTGGGGGGAAATAGGGGAGGGACAGCAAGGGGTGGGGAGTTGGGGAGAGATAGCATGGGGAGAAATACCAGATATAGGTGAAGGGGAGGAAGGCAGCAAATCACACTGCCATGTGTGTACCTATGCAACAATCTTGCATGGTCTTCACATGCACCCCAAATCCTAAAATGCAATAAAAATAATAAAAATAAATAAAAATAAAATAAAGTAAAAAAAAATAAGAGTATCTTAACTTTCCATCTATAGATAATACAGAAAAATTTCAAAGCACTTGTCTAAGAAAAAATTCTATAACATTTACATTTTCTACACATTTCAAGACAACAAATTATAAAATAAAACAATCAGAATTGGGGACTTGCAAGGGTACTATATTAATTTCATTTTAAAAAATAGGAATATTCTCTTAAATTCAAGTATCTAAAAATATTGTGCAAAAGCAGTATTTGTGTATCCTTGCATGTGAGATGTGTTTCCTGGATACAGCACACTGATGGGTTTTGGCTTTTTATCCAATTTGCCAGTCTGTGTCTTTTGATTGGGGCATTTAGCCCATTTACATTTAGGGTTAATATTGTTATGTGTGAATTTGATCCTGCCATTTTGATGCTAGCTGGCTGTTTTGCCCGTTAGTTGATGCAGTTTCTTCATTGTGTTGATTCTCTTTACCATTTGGTATGTTTTTGAAGTGGCTGGTACTGGTCGTTCCTTTCTATGCTTAGTGCCTCTTTCAGGAGCTCTTGTAAAGCAGGCCTGGTGGTGATGAAATCTCTGAGTACTTGCTTATTCGTAAAGGATTTTATTTTTCCTTCACTTATGAAGCTTAGTTTGGCTGGATATAAAGTTCTGGGTTGAAAGTTCTTTTCTTTAACCATGTTGAATATTGGCCCCCACTCTCTTCTGGCTTGTAGGGTTTCTGCTGAGAGATCTGCTGTGAGTCTGATGGGCTTCCTTTTGTGGGTAACCCAATCTTTCTCTCTGGCTGCCCTTAGTATTTTCTCCTTCATTTCAACCCTGGTGAATCTGACGATTATGTGCCTTGGGGTTGCTCTTCTTGAGAAATATCTTTGCGGTGTTCTCTGTGTTTCCTGGACTTGAATATTGGCCTGCCTTGCTAGGTTGGGGAAGTTTTCCTGGATAATATCCTGAAGAGTATTTTCCAGCTTGGATTCATTCTCTCCATCACATTCAGGTACACTTATCAAACGTAGATTAGGTCTTTTCACATAGCCCCATATTTGTTGAAGATTTTGTTCATTTCTTGCTACCCTTTTTTTTCTAATCTTGCTTTCTCATTTTATTTCATTGAATTGATCTCCGACCTCTGATAGCCTTTATTATGCTTGGTCAATTCAGCTGTTGAAACTTGTGCATGCTTTGTGAAGTTCTTGTGTGGCACATATACACCATGGAATACTATGCAGCCATCAAAAACGATGAGTTCGTGTCCTTTGTAGGGACATCGATGAACCTGGAAACCAACATTCTCAGCAAACTGATGCAAGAACAGAAAATCAAACACCGCATGT